ATTCTGATGATACACTCATTTTAAAATTATTTTGCGATATTGCTCTTGAACTCAATTTTATGTTTTAAGTGCGAAGAACATGATATTTAATAAATAAAGGTAAACACAAAATGTTCCTCTTTTGGCGTAATTTAAAATCTGAAACCTTTCAGATTTTTTGTTTCTATCTTAAATCTTTCAGGTGATAACAAAATAAGAATTAGAATGTAACAAGGAAATCCCTTTATTTTGTAATAGAGATCATTAGATTGCTAAGGATACAGGAAATGTGAAACATTCATTGCATCCTCCTGCAGACGGTGTCCGCCGATATAATCGCGGCAAAAACATCGCGGACGAAAACGTCGCGGAGAAAACAACGCAAAACGAAAACGCCGTGATACAAAACATCGTGGGAGAAAAGAAAGGAAAGAGAAGACGTCGCAGTTCTAAAACATCGTGGTTCAAAATATCGTCGTCGAAAATAAAAGCGGTTCAAAAACTTCGCAGTTTAAAAACATCGTCATCGAAAATATCGTGGTAAAAATAAAGCATCCTACAAATCATCGCATGACGATAACATCGCACGACATGCGTTTTTCAGGCTTTTAAAAACTTGTAAATGGATATTCGCATAATTGATTTGTGAGCGCAAGATGGAAGAGAGGATAATTTTTTTTCACGACACTTCAGGATTTTTTATTAACGGTAATAAACTTTTTGCTGAGAAATAATTTGATAAATTATTAAAGCAATTTGTTTTTATAGAGGTAACTTCACGCAGTTATTTATCCTCCATTTTCTAAATATTTTTAGATTGTACTTTTCATGAAAAATTAACCAGTAAAACTTTAGAAAATAAAAAAGATTAAGTTATTAACTGGCCTTTGAAATTAGTTAACTATGTCGGTTTAAATTTTCTAAAATTAAGTGCTATAAGTTGCATTAATTTTCTATGCTTAATAGTTTCTTTCTTATTTTATCAGCAAAAAATTCATTAGTTTTGGATAAAAAATATGAAAGTGTCTTTAAAATTATTCCTTCTTTCCATCTTGCGCTCACAAATCATTATGGGAATATCCATTTACAATTATTAAAGCCTGAAAAAGCGTGTCTGCGATGTTATCGTCATGCGATGATTTGTAGATTTATACTTTATTTTTTACCACGATATTTTCGACGACGATGTTTTTAAACTGCGAAGTTTTTGAATCCCTTTATTTTCGTCGACGATATTTTGTACCACGATGTTTTACAAGTACGATGTTTTCTCTTTGCGATGTTTTCTATCACGATGTTTTGTAGCACGACGTTTTCGCCTTGCGTTGTTTTCTCCGCGACGTTTTCGTCCTCGTTGTTTTTGCCGCGATGTTTTCGGCTGTAACCCCTGCAGACGAACTAAGGATCTTCCAATTCCTGGTTTCATATCCTGATTATTGAGGCAAATTTCGGAGCGATGTCTTAATTAATTAATTACATTCCTCATCACTGAAAGAAACCCTTGGTCGAACCAACACGTCCACACACATCATGAGACAATTGATTATTGAGGGCTACGTTCTAGTTCGCTTTTATTATAGAGACTAATAGAGCTTTCATTTTAGTAAGCAATGTGAAAAGTCAGCTCTGCTTTCTCCGAAAAACGAACTGAGGACTTTCCAATTACTAGCTGCCTCTTTTACACACTACACCATAAAGACACAAATGTGATGGAAGTTTTAGTTCTTTGTACAGTTATTAAAAGATTACATATAAATGAGCAGATTGCAGTAAGGATCGGTTTTATTATCCGTACTATTGACGCTGAAGCATTCTCTATAAAACATGAAATATATTTGGTAATTCCCAAAATTGTCTTATACATCTGGAACCTGCAAGGGAAAATATTCGGAATTGCATATTAGAGTTAAAATTTGCAAATGACATGATAGTTATTTTACCATTTAAAAAAGGTTCTTAAAGAACTTCTCAAACAGCTCCATCAAAGTAGATACTGATAAGCAATTCTGTGTCAATTCCTTCTGGACTCATACTTTGAGACGGTGTTGTCTTAGCTCACTTCTGTTAAATCAAATCAAATACTGGAAGCGAATATCTGATTTAATTCAGAGCTGGAAATTAGGATCTGTTTGGCGCTGTATAAGAAAATTTGTAAAAATTTGAAACAGTAAGATTAGATCTAGAGGGTATTCTCCCTGCACGCAAATCTGCCTGTAATATAAGTGGTTGCGCTTTTTAGGTGTCAGAATTATTAGTAGTCGGAAGCCAATCATGATCTTCCTCGTAATAACCTCAAATTATATGCCATTTTAAGAGCTAAAAAGGATCTCATTAGTTACTTAGTCTCTAAAACTATCTCTTAACACGGAATTAAAAGTTTCTTTGCGCTCAGTACGAATGTTAATGATTTCATTGCTAATTTCGAAATGGATGTTTGTAGGCTTTTTAAAAATATCTAAAGCTCTCAACACGTTAATAATTAAAGAATTAACTATGCGTTAACATTCTAACGATTACATTCTATTTCCGGTGTTGTACTTAGAATATTAAAACTCCCGGTTTACTTCCCAAAGACCCGATTAGTTCTTCTTTCTTCTTCACTGGAAGTGATAAACAATTAGAATGAAAGAAGCATTTTCTCTCTGAGTATATACTTTTACTTTTTTGTTTGGTTGATAATAAACTCTGTTCATTACAATCTGTATACCTATAGCAAACTACTTTTTATTTAATAAAAAAGCCACGAAAGACTCTCAGCTACGAACAGATTAAATTATACCACCAAAAAGGGAATTTAAAGCTCATTATTAGGGTTAACTTTATCTCCGGGTCTTTAAAAGTAATATGCAATAAAAAATTGGAATGACAGAGATTTTGCGCAAAATGCCATTTTCAGGAAAGATAGTTAGGGATGTTCTTGTGATTTCAATGCAAAGTCAAACAAAAGATTTTGAAGTCATTTCATGAATTCCAAGTTTTAAATTAATTTCATTCACAGCTTGGATTTTCTATTAGGAAATAAATTTTACCCTGCATTGCTTCATTCAGTTCGTAATTTTTGTTTAGGAAAAGCTTTACTTTTGAACATTTTACTATTTTTTTCGTGCGTATTGAGTATAATTGCAAATCCTTTTGAAGTAAATAAATGAAAATCGTTAATAAACTGTACCGTCAAGTTCTTTAGATTCTGAATATGTTTGCATTGTGAGAGGAGATTAGGTCTGCTGCATACAAATCAGCAATATACTGAAAATACCCGTGCGAGTATGATAAAGATCGGTTTTTCTGATAAATCGAAATCCCTTCCTTTGAAAATTGTATGTACACTGCGGGAAAAAAAGGAGTAGACAATTCTCTATATCTTCCTTTCTGACCGATTGACGAAATTCAAATTGCGTTTTTCATGTCTCGAAAGAGCGACTTACGATATCTATTATATTTATATGTAGCATTATTCTAAAATATGTATTTTGGCACAAAATGGGTCTTTTTCTAAAATCACATCCAATATTTTTCCATATTTCGTTTCTACGACTCTGCATAAATATTAAATTTTGTAAAATTTCGTGAGAAATTTACAGATTAATTCAAAAATTTATTTTGCCGTATTTTTTTTCAGTTTGCGCCAAGTATAATTCACTTGGCAACTTCTTAATTTATAGCAACCTTTTTTCATTGTACACGAACGGCAAAGAGGTCATCGTTCATACCTTAAAATAATTTTAACAAAGAGCGATAACCACATTTGTCGTTATTATCGCTTATAACAAATATGTCAAGTTTGAAAATGCACCAGTATATAAATTCGCGTATATCGTAGGAATGTTTGAATAAAAACTTTAATTTCTTGCAGTTATGCTTAGAAATACATCTACTTTAAGATGATGGTAAAAATTTTATAGGTTATAATTCAAAACGTTTTTCGAAAAATTTATAAAAATTATTTTAAAATACAAATTTTTAAAATAAATCATAATAAATAGGCGAATTTCATTTAGAATGAACCTAAATTTCAAAATGTGATAGGAAGAATCAAATAAGTTTAATAAAAAAAGAGATGTTTATAAATATATATCAAAATCAATTAATATTGAGGAGCTAAAATTTTGAGACCTAATTTCTAAAAACTACTGGTGCGATTTTTACAAATCTTGGCAGTTTGCATAGTTTGAGTCTTAGAATCGAAATATGAAAAAAAATTGGCATGGCATCTCAGAAAAAGTCCGTTTTTTTTTTTGTTGAAATACCTGTATTAGGACAACGCTATATATAAATCTAAGACATAGCCTAATTCGCGCTTTTGAGTCATGTAAAACGCAAGCTGAATTTCGCCAGTCGGCTCAGTGGAACGAGAGATATAGAACTGTCCCCCCTTTATTTATTTTGTCCAGTGTACCTTGTCTTACTTTGTCAGAGGAATAAATATGTAATTGAATCAAACTAGTTTTTTATGATTTCGAAACTGAATGACAGCAAATGCAAACCAAAATAACTATTAGATAAATTGACATTAAAAAGATTCACAAGGATCTTATAGTATTAGTCACTTTATAAGGTATTTCTCCCGCCTTCTTGGCATGCCTTCGTGGGTGGTCTGCACCCTAGGCGCGTATTCCAGTGGTCCGCAGATTGATTCCCGGCGAGGGCGTTGCTTAATTTTCACCACTTCTTGCTTCAAAACTCGTAATGTCTCTACAGTGGCGCCCGAACTATTCTTCACACCTAGGATTTGGGGATTGGTTCCCCTAAAAACCCGAGTCGCCCTTTAATAAAAAAGGGAATATATAAGGTATTTCTCCCGACTTCCTAGCATGCCTTCGTGGTGTGGTGGTCTGCACGCTAGACGCGTATTCCAGAGGTCCGCGGTTCGATTCCCGGCGAAGGCGTTGCTCATTTATCATCTCTCTTACTTCAAAAATACATACTGTCCCTACAACTTTATTTTCTTGATATTTAATTTTTAAGTGCTTTAGAGGTATTTTATAATTTGTGTAACTGATTTCTTCTCTTGTTTTATTTAGGTTTATTCCAAAGAGCAATCATGCAGAGCGGTTCAGCTTTGAGTCCTTGGGCAATAGCTCGGAATTCGCTTGCGTATACAAGACAAATAGCTAAAACTCTCAAGTGCCCTATAGAAGATAATGCAGTCTTAGTGGAATGCTTACGGCAAAGGTCTGTTCAGGATATTCTAGCGGTACCAATCAGTGTTCCTGATCACTTATCAGCATTTGGTCCCACAATTGATGGCGTTGTTGTACCTGGAGAACCAGCAGACATCATGGAAAAACACACAGATTTCTTTGGGCAGTATGACTTAATGTTTGGTATGACACGAGCAGAATCTTATGACCAATATTCTAGCGAAGAAGATAGGGCTGGTATTGATGTGCAGAGAAGAGATCGATTATTGAGGACTTTAGTGAGAAACCTCTTCAGTTATCATCTCCAAGAAATCTTCTTAACTGTGGTCAATGAATACACTGACTGGAGCAAACCTGATCAGCACCCGATCAATGTTCTAGAATCGACAATAGATGCAATGAGCGATGCATTAGTGGTTGCTCCTTTGGTACGTGTCGGCAACCTACACTCTAGAATACAGTATCCTAAGAGGCCGACGACTTATGAATACGTTTTCCATTATCAAACAGAAGATGCCCTATTTTCACAAAGGTTTGGATGTGTCCATGGAGAAGAACTGCCATACGTGTTTGGAGCTCCTATGGTCAGTTTTTTATCATATTTCCCGAAGAACTTTTCTAAGGGAGAAAGCGTACTCTCTGAAAATGTAATCAACTTTTGGACAAATTTTGCAAAATATGGGTAAGCTCCTTCTATCACACTTTAAATTTTAACTCTCTTATTGGCTGTATTCTGTTAATAATTTACTGTCAACATATATAGATACCATGACAGGAGACTAGTGCTAGAGGTTCCACAAAAGTTAAAGGGATATGTATGCATAAGACCCGTAAGAAAGTGGGAAGCAAAAAATTCGCTAAATTTCGAAAACTATTAAAAAGATTAAAAGAGAACGCAGAATAATATATTTTGAATAAATTAAAAAAAAAAAAAAAAAAAAAAAAAAGATTTATTAATAAGAATGCCAGTAATTTCTGGTTCATTCAATTATACCAAGTGAATAAACAAATAAATGAAAGTAAAGTAGATATTTAATACAGAATAAAATCATATTTAACCAAACGTTCCCTAACCGAAGACAGAATAGTGGGTAAATAAAACATTAAATGAATGAGCTGCAAACTAGTTAATTTGCGATCATCTTTTATTAATCTCTTATACTTTAGAGCTTACTTAATGCTTATACATTAGAGCAGGGATGGGCAAACTACGGCCCGCCGGAAGGTTCTATCTGGACCGCGGATAGAATTTTAATTTGCCGTTCTGAGGCTAATTAAAAATATATATATTATTTATATATTATATATCCATCTCCTTTTCTACTTTTGTTTAAATGTTACTTTTTTTCTTCCTTTTTTCAAAGGACTGATGATCTTTTTTACTTTCTCTATTTTTCTTCTACAAAACATAATCGACAGAAATAGCAAGCATATACAGCTTTCAATCGGTAAAGTGTAAAAGAGGAAGTTCTGTGTTAGTTAATAGCTGTAGATTGGCGCCAACAAGCGTTATCGCCTTCTCGGAGAGCAGGTATATTTCGAATCCAAATATAGGTGAATTAGACCTCACATGTGGCAGAGTGCGCATTTTAAGCTCCAGCCTGTTCTTTTGGCGCGAAATCTAATATTATTGATTGTGTATTAAAAGATTGCGGACATATAGCATCATTGTGAATAGTGGTGAAATTATTATATGTATAGCGTAGCTAGCGCTTGTTTGGGTTATTCGTAAAATATTATTTCAGCCCCAAAATGGCTACTAAAAAACGTAAAGTTAATTCAGAGTAATCAAAATCGTAAAAAAAAAAACTTGTATTTAGCGTAGGTATAATGAAATGTAGGTAAATTTTTAAAATTCACCCTTCGATTCTAAAAGATTGCGTTTCTCTCTTGAATTCTTGGGGAATTTATAGTATACCGTGTCAGTGTGGTTTAAGATATATTGGCCAAACAAAAAGAGCGTTGAAGTTTCGTATCAAGGAACATGAATCTTATGTCAGAAAAGGCGAAATTAACAAGTCTTCAATAGTGTATCATAGTTGGACTTTTAACCATAATTTTGATTTTGGGTCTGCAAAAATTATCCAAAAGGCTTCTTCCATAGGTGAATTGGATTTTATTGAGGCTTTTCACATTCACAAAGATTTAGCAGGTTTAGTTAATGATTTGAAGTCCAATCCAGTCCTTCCTAATGCCTTTAAAATTCTACTATCTTAATTCAGTTATTTTTGCAGATAGATGGCGTTACCTCCTCGCGTTTGGTACTACCAGAGGGTATAAAAACCCGTTCAGTGGTGAAAAAAAGATGGAATCAGATCAAAAAACGATGGAAGCTGGCCAAACATCTTTTAAAGAAGAAATTAAAGAGAAAATGGATTCTGGTCAAAAATCCGTTAAGGAAGAGATTGGTTAAAATTCCATAATCGGGGTGAGCGCCAAGCTTGGCGAGAGTTTTTTATTTGGCGCGATTTTGATTTGTTTGTGGTTTCCGGCTGTAGGTTTTCTTATGACAAACCTAGAGCTTTACTTCGGTAACTGTAAGAGCGTAAATTTAGTGTAGCCAGATTAAAAAATAATAATAATAATAATAATAATAATAATTTTGAAATACTGTGTTTGTTTTTAAAAGTTTTACTGTTTAATATTATTTTTATATATATGTTTAACATTATATTTATATAAATATTTGCAGAAAGTTAAGCTGTTGTTGGTGGGAGAAGGTTGGATATTTTATGACGTGAAGTTTATAATTTATGAATGTTTTCATTTAATTTTATTTAGTTACTTTTTTTTTTTTTTTAGTTTTATTTCTTGCATGTGGCAATCGAAAGATGTGGAATATTTAAAGCTTTGAACGAAAGTTGTGTTTATGATGCTGAATACGCATAATTTGCTATTCTGTTTACGTTTAAAACTCACTTCTGATCTGATAAGTGTATATATTTATTTACTCAATAATTATTTACAAGAATTGTTTATTCTACTATTTTATGATGAATTATATATATATATAGCACTATGTTTTTACTTGCAAAGCTGTTGGACTTTGTTTCACTCATCTAGTAATTTATCATCTCATTTTACTATTGTATTTACATAAAATAACGGCGTTTCACTACTGCAAAACTTAAAAGTTACTATTATGTTTATGTTTAAAAATCACATTTTGGTGATTTCATTGCCGCCTAAAAAATTCGCCAAATTTTGAAGGCCAAAATAGTTATGCGACAGCTTACCCCACTTATGGAATTTTAGCCAAGAGATTAAAGCGGGACAGGAAACCGTTAAAGGAAAGATGCATGTTGTTCAGGAATCTTTTAAGGCAGAGATGAAAGCTGTTAAAGAGGAAGTGAAAATAGGACAAGAGGAAATAAAAAAAGAGATTACTTGTATAATAGAAAACAAATTTGAGGCTATGGAAGGCAGAATTGACACTGTTGAAACTAAAGTTGGACAAATAGAAGAAAGAGTTTCTTCGGTAAAAGAACAAGTAGAAGAAAGAATTTCATCTGTAAAATAACATATAGAAGACAGAGTTTCTGCCGTCGAACAACAAATTGATGATAGGGTTTCTGCTGCCGTCGTCAAAGAAGTTGACAGCCTAAAGAAGTGCATAGGGACGGCAGGAAACAATACTGAAGGTTTTAAATTTTTATCAATGCCTGCTCGTCTCGTTCTGAAACTATCTACATATGATGGGAAGACCTCCTGGCAAGTGTATAGGACACAATTTTCAATCGTTGCGGATGCGACTGGATGGGGTTCCCAAACTAAGGCCTGTCATTTCGGAGAGCTCATTGAATATATCTATGATCCGCATTGAATATATCTATGATCCGCATGAATATGAAACCCGTGCTTGAAGCAGTCTTATGAAGCTTATACACAGACTAACAATAAATATTTGGACACCTATGCAAATGACGATATCTGCGGTCCTAAGGTACGTCACGGACTCCGCCGGTATATATCGTGTAGGAAACAGCATCGGCTTTAGTCGCATTCAAGATGCCTCACAGTTCGGAGCTCTCTGATTTCGAGAAAAGTATAATTATCGGGTATCACAAATGTGGTCGATCCTTAAGGGACATATCTAGCGATTTGAAGTACCCAAAATGGACAGTGGCCTATGTGATTAAGAAGTGGAAGGTGAGCGGTGATTGTCGGAATGTGGCTCGAGTCAGCAGACCAACGAAACTGGGAGATAGAGACCGATGAGTGCTGTCCAGAGAAATTCGGAAGAAACACACCCAACCGATGGCCCTCATCCGCGAGGAGTTTCAACAGGCATCCGGGAGTATTGTTACAATGAATACCATCCGTAAGGAAGCACATCTGCTTGGTTTTCATGGTCGTGCTGCTGCCCATAAGCCTTTGATCACAAAGTCCAACAGCGCTGTTCGGTTAATGGGGTGCAAAGCACATCGAAATTGGACCGTAGATCAGTGGAAACGGGTTCTTTGGAGTGACGAATCAAGGTTCACCCTTTACCGTTCGGATGGAAGGATCTGGATCTCGCGTCTACCTGGAGAACGTCTCCTGCCAGAATGCATTGTGCCAACAGTCAAGTTCGGCGGAGGTGGAATTATGGTCTGAGGGTGTTTCTCCTGGTATGGGCTGGAACCCTTGGTCCCCATTCATGGTAAGCTCAACTCCGATGCCTACTGCACTATTTTGGATGACAATGTGCTTCCTACGTTGCGGCAGTTTTACGGATTGTACCCCTGTAACTTTCAGAACGACAATGCCAGTTGTCATGTTTGGACGTTAACCAAGACTTGGTATTGTGCCAATGGAGTTCATTGAATGGTCTGGCTGCCCAGAGTCCAGACTTGAACCCTATCGAGAACCTCTGGGACGAGTTGCATCGCCGAATTTAGGGGTGCACTACCCGTGGAAAATCGATGAAGGAAATTCTATGTCTTCTCCAAGCCGAGTGGAAGAAAATACCACTAGCTGTCATAAAAGTACTTGTGGAAAGTATGCCCCGGAGGATCCACGCTGTAATTATCTCTCGTGGAAGCTCTACCAACTATTGATTTTGAATAAAGTTAGTTTTTTTTTCTATCACAGGTGTCCAAATACTTATTGGTAGTCAGTGTAGATACTATTCGATCTCACGGGGCTTAGTAACAGGCAATTTGGAGATTTTATTCAGTCTGTGCAATCTGAATACTCTGCTGTACTGTATTACACGAAAGTAAGGCGGCTTAGTGCAGGATGTGTTTTCGATCGAGTTTGGCAGCTGAAAGACGACATTGTGTCGTTCTTTCATGAGAAACAGTGTTCTGCGGAGTGCAAAATGTTAGAAGATACAGAATGGCTTTCAGACTTTGCATTTTGTTCTGTCATATGAGCAATCTAAATGTTAAGATGCAAGGGAAAAATGAATTTATCGACAATATCTGCCCATCTCAAAGCTTTTAAACTAAAACTTTAATCTGTTTACTTGGCAGCTAGCTAAGAACTACTTATCTCATTTCGCGTGGTTCAATTCAACATCCTCAGTAAATGAAGGGCAGCTACCCTCAGTAAATGACGAGAAGCTACCCTCAGTAAACGAAGAGAAGCTACCCTCAGTAAATGAAGAGAAGCTACCCTCAGTAACTGAAGAGAAGCTTAAGAATTATGAAGATGGCTTGAAAAACTGCATTTTGAGTTCGAACGCAGATTGTAAGATTT